GCAAGTCAAGGCAAAGGAAAGCAAAAACTTTTTTAAAATTTCATAAGAATTTTTTGCAAAAAATGAATGTATTGAAGCGAAAAGGTCATAATAGCAATTATTTACTCCCTCTTTTAGCAGTTGTTTATACAAATACGTAATAAAGTTTTACCATTTGCAAAATTTTATTTTGCAAAATTTTTGGCATCAATTGATTATTTTAAAGGTCATATTCTGTTGTATGTTTTTCCGTTACCTTTTTTCAAATCCAAATATCAATTACATATCAATTGTTGTCATGGTCATATTGTTTATAATTGTCATTATTATTAAATCTCTCTCTTTTTTCATAAACCGTAATTTTTTGTTTTATAATTGTATGGAGAAAAATCCTTTCAGTCAAAATCTTTTTATATAAAGGCATCAGCCATGAATGGTTTTATGTTGTATCTGTGTGTCTCCAGTACATGTCTGGGCGCCATGAAGACGCCTGTTCCAGATAATAATAGTTTACTAGTTAAATAACACATCTCACACTCCATTCTTCTTTGCCACAATCAGTGGCTGTATGTTTTAACATCCCTCTCAAATTATTCAATACACACGCACACATAAGAAATGTTCGAACAACGCACTAACTGTATTTTAAGTTTTTGTTTCTTCTTTTCCTTTTATTCCTCATAAAGTTGGACAGTTGGGTAGTGAGCGGTAGGTATGATTATGATGACACACACAACGTATATTAAAATGCGTATGAATCTGTGTGTTATTGTTTCCATGGCTCAAATGAATACCCATCATCAGGATTACTTATTCCTTTAATCAAGTAAATGTTTTCATGCTGTTAAAATGACTTTTATAAAGAGAAAAATCCTTAATTCTGTTTAATTCTTAAGTTCCACATAAAACCCCAGTGATGGCTATAAAAAGTGTGTCTAATGATTGTTAATTTCATTGCAAAAAAATTTGGTTTGGTATATAATTTTTAAAATAGCTTTAATGTACTATATATATGAAAGCTATCATTTATGAACCTATTTATCTCCTGATTTTCCTAAGTCCAAATTTGTATTTGTATATATAATCAAAAATTTGGATCTTTAGGCAAGTTGATTTAAACATAAAACTCTAAAAATTACATAATAGGGGCAAGGGGAAATATGAGCATATCCTTATAAAATTTTCATAGACAGATTTACGTTAACAATAAAGTTATTTATGCAGAATTTCATCGTAATACTAGTGTTTATAAGTCCGATCATTACGGAAATCAGCAGTATCATTTATACCTATATAAAACAAAGTTTTGCTGATTTTTGTACAGAAACTAGAACATTTAACATAATTATGGGCTCAAAAGTCCTATTGCCCTTTTTAGCGGGTACGGCTGTATGGGGGTTAGATGAAATAAAAAACCGATTTTTACCATTTTCAATAGGCTTCGATCTTGGGTCAAAAGAAACGTTTTTGCCAAATCTCATGAAATTACTTTGAAAATGGGTATCTTTAGTTTATTTACAAGGTTTACATGGACGGATAGAGAGTATTGCTAAATCGATTCAGAAAATTATTCTAAGCCGATTGGTATACTTTCAAGTGGGTGTAGATTATAAAATTGTTTCATACTTTTAAATCTTATAATTTTTTGCGTATTACTAAAACTAACAGTAATATATTCAAGTTCAAAACACAGACTAAAATGTAATTTTGTTTATAATTATGATTCCCAAAGGAATTAACTCAAAATTAAAAAGTACCGAATATAAAAAAACATTAATTAAATTAAAAATACAATGGAATTAAATACTTTGAAGAACAAATAGTCCTTACACCTTAGTCTAGCTCAACTAACAGTTGGACATTTTTAAAACAACTTTAAAATTTCGTTTTATAAATAAAAATTAAAAATATTTGGAAACTAAAAAAAAGGCCTCATCATTTAACATTAAATTAATGAACACTTGTTGTTTTAATGTATTTCAACAAATCGTTTTCTATCAGTAGCCTAGCCCACACCGTATGATATCTTTCGTCATGATGATTTTAAAATTATGCTCGTATTTTCTTTCGTCATTAAATTTAATTTCTAATTTTACGTTATTAATATAAACATAAATAAGTAACACAGTAAAATTCCGCTTGAACGAACTTAGTGAGACTATAAAGAAACTTGGTTTCATAGCAATTGAATCTGATATGTGGTATCTTCACACTCTATTGCTATAGAAAGTTTCTAGTAGAAACCAATTGATATTGTTCAAAATTGTCACCATCAGAACTAGATGTACTGAAGCGTTATAGATTCAATATTATGGAACAAGTTCTAGAGAATATTTAATGATTAAGAACTGATTCCAAAGATTGTATTCTTAAAACAAAGCGATTTTTGTCTGAAATTTTTGAAAATTTGACAAATTTTAAAGGCATGATTGAATTTTTATACCCACCATCAAAAAAGATGGGGAGTACATTGATTTTGTCATTCCAGTTGTAACACAGACATCATAAAATTATATACATTCTGAGTCCTTATTCAATTTTAAGACGATCTAGCCATGTCTGTTCGTCTGTATGTTGAAAGCATGATATAGTCCGAACGGAAAGAGCTAGAAAGTTTAAGGTTTACACAAATATTTCTTATAGAAAAGGTTTGTTTGGTATTGAAAATGGGCAATATCAGTCCTCGTTTTCGCATAGCGTCCATACAAGTGGAACCCCGAAAAACAACTTTAACCGTCATAACTGTTTTAAAATGCGAGTATAGCGATGAAATTCGACATAAATAAGTTTCATATGATCCAAATTCTCTCTTCGAAATTTTTATGAGGATCGGTCCATAAATGACCCTACCCCTCAAAAATGGTACCCTCCAAAAAATGACTTTAACGCCCATTACAGGCTTAATATACGAGTCTAGCGCTGAAGTAAGTAAATTTCTCACGATCAAAAATCTATCTACCGAATTTTATAAGGATCGGTCCATAATTTACCCTAGCCCCCATATAAGGTCCCCTTCAAAAAATTACTTTAACGCTCATTACTGCCTAAATAAGAGTATAGCGATTAAATTCGACATAAGTCCATAATTGACTCTACTCCCCATGACTGCTCTTAGAACTAGAGAAATTATGTATGTTTAAAATAAATTCTAGTTTGTCTCATATAAATTATAAATATTTAATATTTTCTAATTATTTGAAAAATTGCTCGATACAGGAAATCTTAAATTTGTTCTCAAATACTTAAACTGATTGTACATTATTTAATGATCATCATTAAAATTCAATTTATTGAAGACAAACAATTAATTTTAACTTGTTGGGATATTTATATGTTTAATTAAAAATAAACATATGTGCGATAAAACAAATATTGAAACAGCTATTCGAAAAGATAGAGCACAGTGGGACTTTTGCCAAAAAAAAGAAAAAAAATAAAAAAACTAAAACAAGGAATTTCTATTTTATTAAACTTTTATCTTCTTACAATAGTAACCCACCTAATATTTGTCTATGACGCTTCTTACTCGCTCTTTAATAATTTCTATTTCATTGACCTTAATTCTCGTAAACAAGTTAAAAAAATTATTTATAATTTACGACCAAAAAAATACAAAATTACAATGTAAAGTTAGAAAAATACATATGTACTTAAAAATTAGAGCTCAGCAAAATATTAAAAAACAAAATTATCTCAACAATAATAAACAGAAATATTTTTTATTTTTATTCCATTCAAACGCGTGAGAATTTTAGAAATTGTCGTCCTTTTTATGCTGTGGTGGGCAGCGTGTCATTTTATAGAATGTTTGTTTTTTTTTTTATTATCATTGTTGAGCTTTTCCAACGCGCGTGTAAGTTTGTTTTAAAAAAGTTCTTATATATTGTTGAAAGTTGACATCATCAAGAAATTATTGTTCTTGTCAGGCATTCATACATGAATACTACTAATGTATGTATGTCTACATGTGTAAAGTATCTAATAAAATGGAGAAAATTTTCACGGTAGTCTGTTTGGCGCCCTCCAAAACTATGTTAAGGGTAATTGTTTGATTTTATTATAGATTACATATACAAAGACAGATATACATACAAAATTGCCAAATATACATATTCCTACATATTTTTAATAGACAATTTAATTATTTTGTTTGTAGGCTCCTAACATTTTCTTCTGGTTAATGACTAGGAAATTATGTTTGTATGTCGCCTTCCTACTCTACTACCCATTGTGCCCATTAATATCTATGTATGTCTATATGTGTTTGTATTATTACAAAGACCTATTTATTAAAAGGTCGTAATACAAAAATGATTGATGTTAAAGCCAATTTAGCCTTATAACCTCCACTTTTTAAAATTTTTTGGAAATTAAAAACTTTAAAAATTTGACTCAGTTGAAACCTAACTTGGAGGATTATTTAATTTGCGAATAGCAGCAAAAAAGTTCTATAAATAGGATCTATAATAGGATCAATGAGAAACGCACAAGTCACCTTATAAACCGTAGTAGGTGGGATATATCGAGATAAATAGCAGTAATAACAGGATACTGGGTGCTAGGCAAACATGCAAGTAGGCTTGGGCTACCCTTCAATGAACACTGTCGTAGTTGCATAGACAGGGAAAAGGAAGAAACGGTCTTCCATTTTCTCTGCGAATGCCCTGCTCTATCCGTGAAAAGAAAGCGTTTTCTTGGCAGTTACTTCATATCTAACCTTGGTGAGATATCTGGATATAAGCTTAAAGATATCCTAAGATTTCTCACTGCTACAGGCTGGATCTAAAACTATAAAATACTACATCTAACGAGTGGAGTGGTCCGGTCAAAACGGAGTCTCTTCGACTCTACTTGACTGTTCGTGCGTAGTGAACTACCACGTAAACCAACCAACCAAAGGATCAAAGAGAATTTTTAAACATATATATCTATTTTAGATCTTTTTCAAACTATTCTTTATTTATAACTAGCAATACCCAGTATGCTTCGCTACCCTAAAAACAATATAAATAAAAAACGATATGGGAGGTGCTATGCCAATACAACACGTACAACATTTGAGGTTTCTAGATCCCAGATGTAAAAATACACCTATTGCTAGGCCATTTTTTTGCACAAATTGCTCACGTGGATTTCAGTGTTGCTGGTGCAAAAATTGATGATTCCAGTTATAATAGTTTTCCAGATATACGATTTTTTATTTAATTCATCGAGATATCTGGGATCTTCAGAAAATTGATTTCAACAAACAGACAGACGGACATTAACTATTTAAGCAAGGGTGTTTGTGTAGTTGGACAGACAGACATCGATAAACCGAATACAATACCTATTAGGAGTTAGAAATTGTATATGTAACTTTTAAGGTCCCAACATTTTATTTTTGATATTATGAACTGAATAAAAATCTTATATATACCTTTCTTACTAAGGTGAAGGGTATAATAATTGTAAAAAGAAACCAATTTTTATTAAATCATATTTCTTTACAATTTCTAGCTGCCGAACCCCATTTACAATGCTGGCATTGCAGTTCAGATACCCATGGATCTGAAGACTTTTGTGGCAATGAATTCAAGGAAAGCAATATACCCGATTCATTAAAGGAACGCAATATAGTGTGGTACGCAGTTGCAACAGTACCATCAATTCTGAACATGAAAGAGCCGTCTGTCGCAAAACCATTGAAGAAAGTAAGTATGTTCTAAGCATTCTAACTAAATCTTTATTAACCAATATTATATTATTTTAAATTTCTCTAGTTAATGGCAAACAGGTGGTTAAACGTTTCTGTTACTACACCAATAAATCAGATACTTTGGATCATTGCCGAAACGAACCTACCGAAAAGAATGTTCATCGGGTCTTTTGTGAGGACTGTCTAACCGATAAGTGTAACAATGCATTTAAATTCGATATTTCATGGAGTATTCTCTTCAGCGCCACTTTGCTGACATTATTCTTAGCCATAAAAACTAAAAGAGTTTAAATTTTAGCATAAATTATAATAATAACATTTTCCAAAAAGACAATTCCATGTTCAAGAATAACAACCATTTAACCTATAAGTGAATACCAAAAGTTCACTTATGTAAAATATTTTTTAAATTTATTTTAAGTTAAAAATTTGGTATTTCAGTTGAAAAAAAAATTAAAATTTTAATTATTTGTGATATTTGTTTTAAAGTGCATTATAAATTAAGTAAGTGTAGCTTTAAGCTGTTGAATTTGTTTAGATTTTAATTTTAAATTATGTTTAAATTTATTTGTTTTATTTTATAAAATTTATAATGCAAAACATCATTTCTACATACTTTCGTATACATTCAACATGCAACTAATTGAAAAGTTCAAGTTCAACAAAAATATTTTAAATTAGTCATATTCCTAAAGCAGAATTAATTTTTTAAAATAATGCACATTACACACACACACACCCACTCACCTCAGATTTTTTCCGGTTTCCTGCAATTAAAAATAATTAATATTATTAAAAAGTGTTTTTATGTAAAAATCAAGCTGTTGTAAAGAAGAAATTTATTAATTTTAAAATTTTATGCCAAAATTAAAAGTATTTTATTTCGTTTTCGTTAATGGAATATATAATGTTCATCTTAATAAAAAATTTGTTAAATTATTTGTATTCTAAATTAATAATTTAAATGTAATAAATATTAATTCATATACCAAATAATGGTAATTCTTCAAAATTATTAAAACCGAATTTCAAAACTGAGAAAAGTCATTTACACTTTATCAAATGGACCTAACCTCAAAAATGGAATCTCAAACATATAGTCGCCCACTATAATTTCTTACTAACATATGTTATGCATATTTTCTCCTCTCTAATGGAAAGAGTACAGGAAACATATAGTTTCTTTCTATCTACTAAATCAGAACAATAACAGATACTTAACTATCCTAATGCATGTCAGGCTTGAATTAGTTCAAAGTTCATGAACTTTTCCTAGCACACGTGTTTTAGATTTGATTATAGTGTCTCACGCAATAATTTTAGTTCCTTTTAGATAAAATTCTTTAACTTGTTGATGCATTATAGGGAGAAAGAGGTGGGATTTATATTAGAACGCATATTATATCTTGATTGTCTGATTACATATAAACTGACAGTCTAGCACTATCGCACATTTAACAGTAAAATATAATTGATTTCAGTGAGAAACCGAGCTTCGGTGTTGCTCGTATCTCTATTTTTGGCTCCACTTATCCGTGTATCTTTTGGATAGGAATTACTTGATATTTTATATGTCAAGGCTTGGTTCTTTTATACTCTCTCAAGTTTACTATATTCTCTTTAGTATACTCTGATCTATTTACGTCATGTTCCACTGAATAGTTTTTCTTCCCAAGATTCCAAATCTCTTCTGTAACACATGGTTCTTCCTAGGTGGATTTCCGCTCTCTTAAGAGACTGCTGACCCAAACGATTCAAAAAAGACATTTGTGAAAATTTCTACTTTAGCTTCTAATATCTCTCTGCCTTTAAAGGTTCCTTAATAAGGTCCCGAACATTGTTCAGGCTTATAACGCCTCGACCAAGGCCGAATCCATCTAAACATATAATTATGTCTAATATTTTCTGATTCTCTAATTTTACATTGAAAAACGCCCTTTAGCTACTTAAAGCTCCTTAGTAAAGCCCCGAACATTAAAAAGTTAGTCCTAGGCCCATAATCTCAACTTCGGTTATCGTTTAACAGGTAGATATTTTGCTGATTAAAATAATATTTGAATAAAAACTGTCAATATATAGTTACGATAAAAAAATAACAAGATATTAAGAAAATGAGGGTTAGATCTATATCAAAATGTTATCCGAAGTATTTTAAGCCCTAGGTAACCATGATCAGTCCTGAATATCGTTTATAAAATTCAGTGAAGATTCTTTTATCTATTCTCTTATTCTGCTAACAAATTTTAAATGATCATGTATTAAGTAGCATTAAACAATTTTCTTAATTTTGGTCTAGGAATATCGAACCATATACACATGTCCATGCCTGGTCCATTTTAAGCATTCATACAAAAGTTTAGCTATAAAAAACAGCTTTCAAAAAAGTTTACAAAAAAGCTTTATATTATTCACTGTATTATATCAAAAACACAATGTTAACGATACGATTTTTTTATAATTAAATAAGAACAGATTTTAAGTAATTATTTTAAAATAAATTTCAACAAAACAATCTGCATTTTTTAATACACTTCGTATATGTAATTTAAATATTAATTAATATTTATTCTCGTGTTAGGAGATTTTAACTAGCTTGGCATTTATTTAAAAATGAAGTAAATTCATTTTAAATTTTTAAGCAAAAATTTATTTTTTTCTTTTAGTACTAAAATCATAAATAAAATAAATACATATAAAATAATTTACTAAAGAAAAATATGATGTTCAATGTATACAAAAACAAAAAAATAATAATAAATAAAAACCGCCGAAATATGAATCATAACATTTATAATAAACAACAATAAAGTTCATTTAAAATTACAAATTATAAGATTTTAACCTTTTTAAAAAATGAAAAACGTAAGTATTTCAATCATGATAAACTATACGCCAAGATTAAAATAATTAAGGAAATTAAAAGGACTTTTTGCAGATTTTAAACGCAATATATTCAAGGCCAGATTTTTTATAATTTAAAAAAAAACACACACGCAATATTTGAAAAGAAATGTAGAAATGCACGAATAGTGTTAGTTAATTGGGATAAAAAAGAATTACATAAATTTACATACATATATGCTAATGAATACAATAGAATAGAGGAATAACGAACACACAGTTTTCTAAATTTATGGTAATGTTGAGAACTTAAATATAATGAAATTTCAAGGACTTATATAGCAAATTCGTTAAGAAAGTTAGTGAAAAGTTTTAAATGAAAATGTTAAGTTTTTAATAAATTTTAATTTGTACTTGTTCTCTCAAAGGACCTTCTTTAACGCTATCTGAAATCCTACAAAATTTTTCAATACCGATGCTTCAAAAACAAAAAAATGTCCACCAATTACACAATTATCATTTACATACTATCATTCATTATATCTATAGTCTCTTTCTAAAGAAAACTAATGACAACTCATAAACAAATTACTGCTCAAGTAAAACGTCCTTAATGTCTATAATCTGATTTTAGCATAAAAACATGCAGGATACTGTTGCATGTTGCTTTTAAAAATCCAATTAAATGAAACTTATTTTAATTTAAACAACAAATTCTTGTCTGACTAATAAAGTTTCGAAAAAAAAAATGTCCAAAATAAACTTATGAGGTGAGAATGAGTTTTAATTAAATTTATGCAAATTAGGTTTTTTGTATCCTTCAATTAGAGTGAACACCTATAGACAGACAAATGGCTGCTGCATCAAAATTATATCTAAACGAGTGACGTTTCTCTGTTTGGAATGAGACAAAGTAATAAACATTTAAATTAATGGTTTTTATGAAAATTATAAAGAGAATTTAAAATACTAATTTTGTTGTTGGAAATTAAACAAGTTTAGGTAAAATTTTTTAAATTTTTAAAGGAGTTCAATAACTTTTGATTCATGAGGTTAGATAAGATTTGTTTTCAGTGGGGTACTTGAAAATTTTCATCAAATGATCTTCAAAATTGGCCTGTAGTTTGATTGCAAGGTTTATATAGACGGACAGAAACAGACGATTGCTATACTTTACAGTGGATGTAGGCGCAATATGTCTTACAAATTTCAGTAAAAATTAATTATACAATCCTCACTATAGTGGAAGAATTAAAAAAACATTCCGATATAAATATCTTAGGATTGTATATAACATACATCAGAAATCGTGACCTTTAACCTCTTTTTACTCAATTTGTATTACCTTTTCGTAGTTAAATTACACTGTAAGTATGTCAAAAAGACAGAAAAACGCCGAGACATCTAAACTTAATTTTGGGTCGTAGAATCTAGTGGCATACTCCGTTTTGAAAAGACGAGAAATCTCTTAAAAATGAGCAAGTCCGATGTTAGTATGATGGTACGTATTCTGAGTGGACACACAGGATTATGAGCACATCTATAGAAAATTGGACATGCGGATTCAGACGAATGTAGAGCATGTGGAGAGGACAGTGAAACTCTGGAGCACTTTCCTTGCCACTGTCAGGCATTCGTCGAAGAGTCTTGGAAGCGATATTATTCCGGAAATAACATTACTGACTAACACTGGTAGGAAAATTCTTAGGAATTACGTGCAGGAAACTAAGTTTCTACAAATTGAAAAATACTATATTCAGTGATAATTTTTTCATGAAAAGGAGCGCACAACAGGCCCGATAGTGGCCTAAGTGTATTTCTTCGGATTTGAAGAAATACACTTATGTACATAGTATACATAACCTAACCCTATATATTAATTTCAGATAATTCGGATCATAAATGAATATTTTTCGAAATTGAAAAACATGTGATACCCGAGGTGACCCACTTTTATAGCCTCCATTCTTCCCACGATCACCTACAACTGTCAATTGATTACATCCTGTACACGGACGAACATGTTCTAATCGATGCTAAGTCGATTAGTACGTTTTAGCATCTAGGGGACATTACCAATTTTCCCCGGGAAATGACACAACAAATCTATGTAAAATTGGTCATTATTAAGGTCTCGCATTAGAATTGGGAACTTCCTTACACAGAGGGAAAAATAAATATATGCGCCTGGTACCAAATCAACACCAAATTTTAACATTTAGACAACGGATGTTCATAAAGTTTAGATTGCGACAACGAATTGTTGCAATGTTGACAAAGTTGCATGGTCTACATTACATGTTGTTGTTGTATGCATGTATATACTTTACAATGGATGTTATTGAAGCATTTTGTATCAAGTTGGTACCAGGCGTGTATATATTTTTTCCTCTGTGTATGTCATCCTCTCACCAATTAAGTCTTTACCAACAAAATATTCAAGACTGGTCATAGCTCGAAATAAATTATATTCCGAATTTTTTATTTCAAAAGGAAATTGTATTTTGAAAGTTTTTTGAAAACGAAAAATTTTCTAAAATTCTGATTTTCCTGAAAATTATTTAAAAAAAATTTCCGCCCGATATACATATGAAATTTTTGCCTAGATATATTAAACTGGAAATTCTGAAATATTTAAATATTCGAAGTGCAACTTTTTACTAGAACTTATGTAATTAATTATTTTTTTTTAAATAACTGCTGTTAAAAATTCATTAGTGATAAATAACAACTAATCTTATTGCATCAAAATACGTGAAAATTTACTTAATTGCTTAATTCCATTAATTACTATTAAATAAAAATCTTTTTTTTATTTTTCACTCATACTCCTACAAGAGAACTTTATAACAACGAATTAAACACTCAATTTAAAAATATAAATAAAAAGAACTCACTCATTAATAAGCTCATTTTTGTTAAGGAGAAATTCGAACAAAAAAGAAAAATTATTTCTTAAAAATGAGTTCTATAAAATATTTCTTCCCCATTGTTAACTTGTTTTATTTTACATCATAATGAAATGAAGTCACGTTTTGGAAATAGTTTTATGTTTTTATGTGTCAAGAATCCTTTATCCTTTAAAATTGCGTGTTTAGATTATATTGCGTAGAATTCAACAGAATATTGTATGTAAATGTAATTAATATATTTCATGGTTTTTCCGCTTGTTTGAATATTAAAGTCAGAGTTGTAGGGGGAGAGATGTACAAAAGTGGTTGATTTATATTAATTATAAAATAAGGATTAAAGTATTAAAGTTTTTTTATTGTTTATTTTGATAATCGAAATGATTTTTTCTCTAATCCATTTCAACAAAAATCTCAATTTGTTTGCGCCCAATGTTAAAAGGCTTAAACGAAAATTTTAATATACTTTATGCGTAAATTATTTTTAAAGAATATTAAATATGAAGAAATAAACAAATATAAAACCCAAGAAAAAAATAAATAAATATTATGTCGTATTAGAAAAAAAAACAACCAAATAAAAAACTGACATCATTTCAAAAAAATTACCTAAAGTTCAAATCGTTATAAGAATAAAATATTTTTATTAATGCTAAGTAGTTTTTCGAAGAGAGGGATGAATAGCAAAAAATGAGTGATACATTTGTCAAAGAGAAACCATCAACAAGTTGTTCAAAATTTGTAAACAACTTAAACAACACAACAGAGGAGGCTCAGTTGGAAAAACAATAAAAATCGTACTTACTTCAGTTAGTTTTTTACACTACACCACTATAGTGTGCTGATGTTTCTAACCTTAAAGTACATATACCAATCGACACAAAATAACTTTCTGAACCCATAAAGATATGTCCATGTAAACTTTGTGGGCATTCCACAGTTCGAAATTTTCAAGAAAATTTTATAAAATTTGAACCATACTTTTTCTTTTCCAAGGACGAAGTCTATTGAAAATGGTTAAAATCGGTCAATTATTTCCTACAACTTAAGCCCCGAAAAAGACTTTTGAGCTCATAACCATGCCGAATTTCGTAAAAATCGCGACCTTAGCTCCCATACAAAGCCCCTTTTCAGTTTACTTATAAACACTAATATCGCGAAGAAATTCATCACAAATAAATATTATGTAAATATAAATCTTTCCACTAAATTCCATCGGGATCGGTCTATATTTGCCCCTAGCCCCCACATGTATATATTCAGAAAATAAATTTTTCGTCAATAAATTGCTTAAATATATCGGAATTAATGTAAAACAAGTAGGAAAGTATAGTTGGTCATCGCCGACTATATGATACTCTACACCAGAGTATATTTTAAAAATTTTTAATTTTTCATAAAGAAACTTTTATGTTGAATTATACCTTAATTCCTATGTATTTAAGCAATTTATTGATGAAAAACAGAATTACTAAAAGATGCTTTATATGGGAGTTAGGGTCAAATTTGGGCCGATTCTCAACAAATTGGAAAGAAGAATGTACATATTTTTAGGTTAGTTATGCCGAAATTCATCGCTATACTAATGGTTATAAGTAAATTTTAGGACTTTTAAGTTATTGTTAGAGGGGTTTGTATTGGGGGTTTGGGTCAAACGATGGTCGATCATTATAAAAATCGGCATGGTCATTTATGCCTATATAAAACTTAGTTGTGCCAATTTTTGGAGAGACAGTAGTATTTTTGACGTAGTTATGTGTTAAAAACTCCAAACCGGAAGGTCAGGTTGTATGGGGGCTAGATAAAATAATGGACCGATTTCAACTATTTTCAATAGGCATCATCCTTGTGCCAAAAAAAAATTTTATCAAAATATCTTGAAAATTGTGGCTTGTAGATTGCGCACAAGGTTTACATAGACAGCCAGACGGACGGACATGTCTTAATCGACTGAGAAAGTGATTCTAAGTCCATCGGTATAATTTAAGGTGGGTATAGCACCAATATTTTTGTGCGTTACAAACATCAGCACAAACATATAATATATTGGTGTAGGGTATAATTAAACATAAATGCTTTATTATGAAAAATAAATCGCATTTAATATTCATAACTGCTGTAGGGTATCATATCGTCTGCCACGCCTGTAAGTACTTGGACCAAATCCAAGTATTTTCTACAAATTCATATAAAAGCAAAATGTTTCTATTCTTGATATTGTGAGTTTTAACCATTGTAGGGTCTATTATTAAATTGATTAAAAATTATAAAGATCGGGAAACAATATGTACTACAAAGTTAATTTTTATAAATAAATTTCCTAACGGGTCATTAACACACCATTTTATATATATACAATTATGATGTCATTAAATGAAACCAACAGTTTTTTTCTAATAAACAAATGAATGCTGTCAACAAACACAAGACTAAAAAAACCAACCACACTATTTACAACTTACTTTACCAAACACAACACTCAACCAGCACCACCCCACCGAAATCCCACGCCAACTAAAAAACCACTCCATGAGATGAGTAAAGATTTTGAGTAAATTTAATCAGGTTCCCCTTAAAATTTACTGTGTGTTGAGGTTTTTTTTTAACAAAAATTCAAAAGAGTAAGAAACGAGTAAAATGTTTAATGATGCGAAGAAAACATTTGACAGAGTTTAAGAAACAACAAAACATTTAGATTTGGTTAGTAGGTGAAGATCGTTGGTCGTTGGTGGAACTCATCACAGATAACTAAAAAAGTAAAAGTGAATTTGAAAATAATTTCGAAATCAAAATAAAAACACTGCAGTTGTTTTGGATTTAGATAATAAACAAACAAACACACACAGCAAAAAAATCAAAACTAAAATAAAAATCATGTCATCTATGAAATATTTATTGGCTGTTGCAATCATGGCAACTTTGGCCTGTTCGGGTATGTAGTAATGTTTAATAATAAATATATTTTTAAAAGTGTACGCGAAATATTTAAATTTTCGATTATTCTTTATATACTTATGTCTGATATCTTTTTGTTTATATTTTCTTTGCAGCTTTTGCCATACATTGTTACCAGTGCGAATCTTCGAATCCAAAATGTGGTGAACATTTCGAAGCTGACGATGCTTTCAAATTCGATTGTGCTCGCATTAGTCCACCCCGTTTCTTGGCCAATTTCCTACCAGTTCGTAATGCTACTGGATGCATGAAGAAAACCTTAGAAGCCGGTAAGTTTTAAAAGCAATTAACTTTATTTCAAAATACATAATGACAGTTATGAAATTTGAACTGGTTTTTGTTTTAAAAACATAAACTTAACGACTTGTTTTCATTCACGATTGATCTCTTGTTTTTGATTTGTATGCAAAAAAAGTGTATTAACTTGAGTTAGTATGTTTTGCTCTTAAGGTAAAGATGATGTCATTTTGGGAATGTGATTTGTTGTTGAACAGGTGGGACGTTCGGGGTTGTTTAAGTAAGGGGTGCGTGTTTTTTTTTGTGGATTAAAGTAATTACCATGACAAGTCGCTTTAATAAATTATTGCGTTGTAAATATTTATTAAAAAATCTCTGTGTGATATGGTGTAATAATCGCATTAATGACTACAAATTGTTTAATATTTTTTTAACGAGAAAATTAACTGATTTTAGAACATTTTAGTCATATTAATTTGATGTTTTTTTATATTTAAATTAATTTGTTCTAAATTTGGCTAATGGTCACTCCCAAATTTGGTGAAAATTAAGCAAATTATAGTGACTAACTGGCTAAAATGAAAAGTAAAATTGTCACTACAAACTTTTTATGGAAATCATTGAAAGATATTTCTCTAATAAAGTTTCAATTTGGTTGACAAATAAAGAGAACAAACATACATAAGTATATTCTATTTAATATATTCAAACTTCGTAGACCCACAAACATATATTTTTGTATTCTTATAAGATTCGTGGACAGGGGATAAACAAAAGAATCTGACAAAATTTCCCTCATATCTTCCTTGTTTATACGATATTTTTTATTGAAAATTTTATACATATACTACATACCTACATATCTATTCTTCCAATAGAAACAAACATTTTCTAATAAAATCTTGAATTATAACGTCAGATTACTGAAATGATTTCATCTATTGGAAGAGTACTAAAATTAGTTATTGGTAAAACATATTTCCAACAGATTATAATTCAAACTGAGCCATCGGGCATTGTGAAAATTTGTAAATTTAAAAATTATTCTTAACACTTGTTTATACATCTTTCTTTTGCAAATATGGTATATTAATAAAAACAATTATCAAGTAAATATAATATATACATATGTTTTTAACAAATATGTATTTCCTTTACTTTTGAGATAACAAGATGTTTTTGTAAAGTATGACTAATTTCAAAACCTATATTTACCTAAGTATGTACGTAAAAGTCATAATTATTTTTTACTATATTTCCACTTTATATTTCCAATTATTGATTTATTGAAAAATAAGTGATTTTCTGAAAGAGGCCAAAGGTAAATATGGGCCTGGTAGAGGGTTTAACGTTCACATTTAAGTTATTTATGCAGAAGTTTATCATGGTATGTTGCAGTGTTTATAAGTGAACAATTATTGACCTTTGAAGGCTTCAAGTGATATTCTCAAGGGGACTTTTTATTGGGGCTACTGTCAAATGAAGTCGATCATTAGCATTCAGACTTATACAAAACTTAGTTGTGCCAATTTTTGTATAGATATAAGAAAATTGTACATAATTATGAACTCACATAATGTATTCGGGGGATACGGTTGTATGGGGGCTAGGTGAAATAATGGACCGATTTCAACCATATCCAATAGGCTTCGTCCATGTGCCAAATTTCATCAAGAACACACAGACGGACATAGCTTAATCAAGTCAAAAAGTGAGTTAAAGTCGGGTACAATTTGGAATTAAACACATCATGCCCTCTTTTGGACATTTTTACCAAAATATTTTGGGTAATATCAAATCAAAAAAGGGCTGTATTTGTGGTACTCGGTCTATTATACGTATTTAGATTTTCTATACAAATCAAAAAAGATATATCTGCCATAAATGCGCTGATTTTACAAATTTTTAATCGTAAATCTCTTAGAATTTTAATTAACACTAAAGTATATGTATATTAAACGATGACTAAGATTGTAACATTGAGATTTATTAAATAAATTTTATTATTTAAAACAACAACAGCTTAACTAGTTTTGAAAATTCGTTTATCAGATGCGCAATAAACTTTTAGAATATAATTTTTATATCAATGAAATTCATAATTCAACTGCTAACCGCTCTCACGCAGTCGTGCATAGAAATTTGATTTTTTTTTTTTTTTTTGTTTCTAATACATTATTATTTAATAATGAATTTAATTATATAAATGATGTCAAACAGTGGAATCCATCAGAAAAAAAAATTTATTAAATTCTTTATAAACTAACAAACTAAGCATTTTTAGTTAATTTTTTATAAATTGAGAATTTATTGAACATTTTTGCAAATTATATACAAAAAGTTCTAAAATTTTGAATTTTTAGAAAATTTTGGAAAATTTCTATAAATTATTGTATTGAAAACTATGAGAAATTCACTGGAAGTATTTAGTCACATTAAAATCTTATATTTATAAATTACTTGGGGTTGTAAAAATTGCATTATTATTAAAAAAAAAAACAAACTTGAAAAATAATAATTAACAACTTGTGAATTTTTGTTTTATATTCTAAACAATTGACACTGAACTTTATATTTTCCCATCTATTATTATTACTTTTTGACAGTTGTATAACTTTTAAAATAAATAAAAAAACGATAAATCACAACTGAATTAACATCTTTACTTTATTTTCTATATCATTAATAACAATTTTTTTATTTTCTAAAATATTCTATTTACAGTAAGCGGTCATCCACTAATAGTGCGCTCTTGTTACTTTGGCGACATTTCCAATACCCAAGGTGGTTGTTCAGCTGATCCTTCATTGCCTTTTATTAAACAAATGTCATGTGATGTTTGCTCGGGTGATTTGTGCAATGGTTCCTCAACAATGGCACCCATTGCCTTCACTATTTTGGCTTTCTTTGCCTTGGCTCGTGTATTCTCTTAAGTCTATAACTCTTCCAAGTGAAACGAGTAAATCAGCCTTTTTAAGCCTTAAGTAATCTCCTTAGATCTATAGAGATCTTAAAAAATATGTATTTTTTTATTTTATTATTATTTTTTTGTAAGTATTTATGTTTTAATTAATTATGGATGGAATGTTAAAGCTTTTTAAGAAGAAAAACAACAACAAATATTATGATTTTTTTTATAAGCAATAAAATGAAATACAAATTATTTAAACCAAAAAAAAAAACAGTTTTGCTAGTGCATAATTTCTTTAAATTAGTCATATGAGTTAAATTAATTGAAATTATGTTCGTGTAGGTTTATAATTTGGTCAAAGTCATTTGTTAAAGTATTAACGAACAAATATTTAAAATTCGGCCTTTGACTTTTTTAATTGTAGCAAAGTTAGTTGCTAATGCTTCTTTTTAATGTCAACCGTCATCATTTTAATTGAATTGAAATAATTTAAGAATAATTTTAAATTAACAGTACAAAAGTTTAGATCTGTTAGACATAAAATGGATTATGTCTTCACTAATTAAATTAACTAAAATACAACTTTTTCTGCAGCTTTATTTTTAAGCTTTTTTATACTAGAACTAACTAAATGTTAATTTAAAGTTTTTATGTATTTACTCCTCTGACTTAAAGCTTTTAATTAAAAACAAAAATTGATTTATCCCGTTAAACTTTTACCAAATGCCATAATTAGGGATTGTAATTACTTACAATCCTGGTATTTACGGAATTCGAATTATAGAATTGGCATCCCAAGGTGTAACCCACCGGTGAATAAATTATGTTTACTTTATTTAGAAAACAACTTTGATTTGGTTAGTAATTAAAAATCATCGGTCAATGTTAAAACTCTTTAGAGAAATATAGAATGACCAAAAAAGGCAAAATATGTATATATAAAAAACATTCTAGTTTAAAATAAAAAAATCATGAAGACCTTAAAGAATTTATTAGGTTTTACAATTATGGCCATTTTGTCTTGTTCGGGTATGTAATAATAATGTAAAATATGTACATATATAAATAGCTTTTAACAAAATTTTCAATTATATTTGTAAGCTTTTTCATCGCCAGCTTTTGCTATACACTGCTACGAAAGCGATTCGTCTATAGATCCAAAATGTGAAAACGATTCGGAAAGTCTTCATGAATTTAAAACAGACTGGAACTTATCTAAAAAATTGTACTTTGAAGATTTCATACTTTTGGACGATGATTAAGGTTGCATGAAGAAACCCCTTAAAACCAGTAAGTTCAAAAGTCAAATAATTACACTTTTGTCTTAATTTGTCTAGTAATGGAGAATTTGTAACACTAAGGAAAATTAGTTTTTGAAATTTTGTAGAAATTTTAATATCTCCACCCAATATAGTTTCTTTTTTTAAAACTAGAACGTTTTTTGTTCCACTGTACAATATGGTGGTAAGCTCACTATTGACAACGGATTTTGAGCTTACCAAGTTTGTTAACTTTTAGACAACGGATGTGCATAAAATTTAGATTACGACAATGAATGGTTGCAATGTTGACAACAGTGCGTGGTCAACATTACATGTTGTTGTTGTATGTATGTATATACATGACAACAGATGTTATTCAAAAATAAAAATTTAAATGAAATTTTTGGAAGCAATGAAGAAATAGCTATCTGAACTCCTTTGAACAATTTTTGCCGGTTTAATAGGTGAAAAGTCACACTTATTTGAATAAAACCCTGTATGACCAAAATGTCCAAGTTTGTCCTGCTCTAAGCTCGGCAGTTCTTGACCGATAGAGCTGAATCCGATATAATAACCTTTTGAGTTGGGTCACTTGACACGAAATTGCCCATATACGTACATACAAATATAACTAAGTGAATAATAAAAGAATGTTTAAAATCCCATATTTCAACGTTTTTTTTATAACGGTGAGACATTGGAAGCAAGTGCTCAACACGCTCGCTTGCAAATAAGTACTTATATGTAAAAACTCAAATAAGTACTTCCGTATGTGGATTAGAAAACAACCTAAATTGGTGATTTGTAAATCTAAAAAATCGATTTTCTATACTAATCACCATTAGTATGATGTATGTGTGTAATAAGTGATTTTATATGCTGTTAAGTATTGAGTAGTGGGTTCGAGTATCGATATTGCCTATTTTTTGGTAATACAAAGTGTTACTAATACTTTAGACGTTGTGATTAATTATTATTTAACGCTATGATGTGAAAAAATACGCTCTAAAATCTAAAGACCAATCATATAGAATGTCGCAATATCAATCATGTAAAATATTTAAACACTGAAAATAGTAAAAAGTTACAATATTACGACGCATCTAAAAATAAAAGTCACAAAGAGTGTATGTCTGTCTAACTTACTTAAAAAAGGAGTTTTAATTTAAAATAAACCGTTAATGTATCAGTATTATGTACCCAAACAAAGTATGTAGTTTGAGTAATAAAAAGTAGAATATACGCACATTTTCAGCACATAAAAAATATAAACCTTGAATTTAGAATACTTTCGTCCCCAGACACTCCCAGAAACAAAGTTAATTAAGCGAACAGGCTGACCAATACAAGTAATTAAATTAAACTAAAATATTTGCCAGCTAGACAATGCGACAGACGATGAGCAGAAAGAAAAATACACAAAATCCACTTTTAAGAGGGATATAAACTGCTAGAAAAAAAAAAAAGAAAAATAAACTTGTGTGGAAATTCTATTTTAAACCGTTTATAATTTTTCTGTACTCATTCTCTCTTAAATTTGCTTTTCTTTTATAGAATTTAAAGGAGCGCCAAAATTAAAATAATTAACATTTGTATAATCAAATAAAAAGAGACTTTTTTTCTGATTTAAACTCTTGTAGGAGGAGATTTCACAATTATAACGACAGGCGAATGAATTGCCACTGAATGAAAAACTGAAACTGGTTGAAGAAAAGATATGATCTGTTTTTTGGACTTTTGTAGTTTATCGCTTGTCGCTTTTATTATATTTGGCACCTTCTGATATTTAGCGCTCCAAAATAGTTTTGAAATACAGAAAGTAAAACTGATACATACATACATTTGTTTAAAAGAGGAAAATTTGGAAAATTTATTTTCAGCATATTTTCAGTACAAAATTGAGCATGAAAGTGAAAAGAACGTGTAAAGGAATAATTTTATTTTAAACAAAATTTTAGAGAACGAAAAATATTTAAAAAACCGCAACACAAGTATTAGTATTAGTCAGCAACAATTTAGTTTATTTTGAAATAAAAGAAAAAATAAAATAAATATTCTAAAATACCAAAAAAAGAAAAAACGAAAAGTTTGTGTGTGTAAATGTTTGCTTCAAAATGTTCATATTCAAGTTTGTACCAATAATGAAAAATTTATTGTTTATACAATTTTAGCGTAATTGATATTTATGAAAATAAATACCAATAACAAAAAAACAAACAAAAATTTTAAATTACAAAGAAAAAAAAATAAGTGGAAATTTTAAAAAGCAAGCAGGAAAAGCTAAGTAGAGCAAGAACAAAAAAAAATTAATGGACTTTTTATAAAAAACAACTTAAAAAAACAAATACACAAAATTATACAAAAAAACCGACTGAACATCGCTATGACTGCATTCGAAACGCACTCGTTTGTGGTAATAATAACATTACTTTCATCCTTCATAATCACAGGTGGGTTTGTCAAATCTTACTTGAAATAAATTTTAAGAAAACAACAATTTTGAATACTTATGTAAACCAGCTTCCGCTATACAATGTTATAATTGTGAATCGGTATCGGAAACCAATTGTGGCGAAGACTTTAACATGGAGGAGTATTTTAAGATCGATTGTGATCAGGTGGCCCCACCACGTTATCTTTCAAATGATTTGGAATATTTAAATGCAACAGCTTGTATGAAAAAAATCTATAAAGGTGAGCCAAGTTAACATAAAAATTTCAACAAAAAAATATTTTATTTCGTTCATTTCATTTATTGCATCAATAGAAGACATAAAACACATGTCACTTAAAGATAATTAAATTGGTCATTACGTGGGTGTTTTAATATTTCAATATTGTTATTTTTATTTTATAATAATTTTAGCTTTTTTGGCAGAATTTTTAATAACAACAGGAAATTGTAATAAATCTAATTTGTGTTTATAGGTAGATAAGTTTTAAATAACATTTAATTAAAAAAATGTGAACATTAAAATCTTAAGAAAAATGTGTCATAAATTCCTTTTTTTTACTGATCAAGATTACAAATGTAATATCGTAATTGTTTGCACGCAAAGAAATTAACAAGTACAAATTTAATGTAGGCAAGCCTAAATATATGCTAAGGATTTTTTAATAATGAGTATTTTTAATGAGTTGTAGTTTTCCAGAGTGGTGAATATTAATTTTAAAATTAAATTTTAAACAAACATTTCATGAAGCTTATCGTATTAATTAAAGTCATTTAGAAAATATACCTAAAAACAGTAGGATAATGGGTTTACCGCGCTACAACCCATAATAATGAATAATTTAGGTAATGTGGCTAATTTCTGGGCAAATGGAAAACTGATATATGTCTGTAGGTGCCTATGGAGTTCAAATGCTCCTCGGATGGTTCTAATATAAAGCAAGCGAAAGTATAACTGTATAGATTCCCCAGCCAAAACACCAGTTGTTAATGTATTGACTAGGTCAAGTTCCATATTCCAGTCGAAAGAAAATGCTCTAAAAACATAAAGTCAGAGAATACTAAAAGGTGAAATGAAAAACCTGAAGTCCATATATAAAATAAAAACCGAGTTAAACACTGAACTACAATGATCCATAGGACATTGTTGATGTCAGAATAAATCAGGCCTAAGTTAGTTGATAGACGTCCTAAAAGCCGCAACTAACAGGCGCTTAATAGGGTGCCTGGTCTCAAATTAACACCAAAGTGTTTATAATTTTTCAATAACATCCGTCGTCAAAGTACATACATATGTACGGATAGTTGTCAAACCCACAAAAATATATAAAAATACACGACGTTATCAAATCAACAAAAAAATAATAATGTGTTATCAAAGTAACAACGCTATGTTGTCAAACAGAACAATACGAAATCACAACGATGCATTATTGCCGAAATTACACAAAGAGTAATCGAAATGATAGCAATGCATTGTTGCAATGACAACGATGCAAAATTACAACGGTGGTTGTCAAAATGATAACTGGGTGTCATTTAAATTTTATACACATCCGTTGTCTAAATGTTAAAAAACGTGGTAAGCTCACTTTTGACAACGGATTGTATCAATTTCGGAACTTTTCTACCAGTATTTTTCCCTCTGTTTATGTAGTAGTCATGGAGAAGTAAGTTGTTGTGTAAATACAATTCATTACCAAGTTTTTTCTGGATAGTATAGCTGTGACAGGTAAATAGAGCGCAGTCTTCAGTCTTGAGCTTCAAATAAATTTCCATTTGTGACTGGCAATGCAGTGTAATTAATTCATTGATAGAATTTTAGCAACAACAAAACAGTAGTTTAACTAAACAATTAAGTTATCGGATAAATGCCAAAGAAAATTTTAAATTAACAAAAATGAAAATATATATGTAGTACAAAAAATTAGATTACGTTTACAATGAAAACTATTGCCAAAAATATATAAACAAGAGATAAAATAAACAATTTAAATTTTAATGTCAACAACAATTTCACTTAAGTTTTCTTTTATTCTATTAATTTATTTTGTTTGTTTTGTTTTCTTTATAGAATATAAAGTCCTAAAATACGTACGCAGCTGTTATTTTGGCGATGTCAATGACACTGAAATTGGTTGTCGCATGGATCCATCCATGATGGATTTTCAAGATGTACAATGTTTTGTCTGTGACAATGAGAATTTTTGCAATAAAGCTTGGAGCAACAAGGTTGTGTCTAATTATTTAGTAAAATATTTATCAATATTAATATTTATTTTAATGGCACAGTTTTTAAATTAGAATAATTCATAAGAAGTCCTTTAAAAGTGAAATCTAAAAGAATGTAACCATTTCCAATATTGTTTGTTTATAGTGTGTAGTTAAAATGTTTAAATTAATTCTTGTTACATTAATAAATAGAAACAAAAAGCTATATTTCCCCCTTCCACATTATGTGTTTTCTTGCTAAAATGTCAACAGTTTGGGAATCATCAGTACCCGGACCAACACCCACTCATTTAAAAGTTTGTATACATTTAATACATACGTCATTTATAAATACTAGAGTTCGCCCAGCGGTCGAAATTCGACCAGAACTTATGCTGGAAAAAATGCATAAATATGCTAAAATAAAACCCTTTTTTTATAGTTCAAATCTGCGGTAAAAAATTTACTTTATTGATATTATCAAAGTGTATAATTTGCTATTATTAATGTTTTCTTTTAGAAAATGTGATGGGTTTTTGGTAAAAGTCCCATCAGAAGTTTAAAACCTCAATTGCCAAAATTAGTTATAAAACTTGTTTTACAAAAGTATTTCAACTATTTTAAAAATAATAAATAACGAACATTTCTTCTATCGACTTATTATCCCCTACATATTTACGCTACGTTCACAATGCTGGAGTACTCTACTGTACACACCATTAAAGATATGTTAGCTGTTCAAAATACAGAGTGGAAATGTTCTAAATAATTTGTCAAAACAATAAAAATATTTAAAATAAATAATGTCTTATCTAATTATAAATAAATTTTATTTGGATGTAATTAGTAGTCCTTCCATCAAATATATGCTGTATAAATTCTCCCTTATAACATTCGACAAAGACTTCAGCAGACCTACATTTATTAAATAAACGATAAATTGCTAAGTACGGTTAAACACTCTTTATCCCTAAAGACATGATTTATATTTAGCAGTTTCATCTAGCAGTTTTATCTATTTTTATATAGCATATAACCATCACCTATTCAACTTACAGTTTTCACTTTACACTACTATTTCCTAATTGGTTAGAATAACCCAAAAAAGGAGAATATCAGCAAATCCTCGCTGTGCTAAACCTGCATATAAGCGATATACCTATCCATTTATTGCGGTGTATCATGTACCGGCATGACGAACTAAACTTTACTTATATTTTATACAGGCTTTTTTATTACTTACTGACATTGAATCAATTCGTTAATCCATCATTTAAATCTTCCAAATCAATCAAAACTAATAATTATGTATCGCAATTCAGTATTTTATTTCACCGATTTTTTTCGTTGAACATAATCGAAAAGCATCGGCAGTGTAACGACCAATAAAAAGTTCACGTTAATAATTTTATAATTTAAAAATATTTCAATACATAACTTTTGACATTCTTATAGTTTTCCGATCTTTGTCTTTAAAATATTCTACAGTCGTTAAAAAGTTAGGGAATTGAATATTTGTCGATATTTGTCATTACTTTACGATATTACTGAATTCCGGTACTGATGTCCTACCAATATTTTTCCAGGTCAAACACCAATATCAGTACATTTTTTGGCATATCTTGAGGTGTCCCCAAGCATTATTTACACATGTTTTTATATTCCCAGTTCGTTGTTTCCTCAGGAAAGTCCTTCAATTTAATTATTTTGAAAAGTTTAAATAACGAAAAACCTTCAATCGAAAATTCTGAATATAAAACTGAAGTCCTACTTCTTATAAAAATATTCGATTTGGTAACAATCGTAACGATGTTATAACAAAATTGATCATTATCTCATTCACAATTTAGCACTTTACACAAAAATATAAAACAATAAAATCCTATTTTCGCATTGCCTGAGCCTGTTTACATACTTATTTGATTACAAAAATCTTATTAAAAACAACAAAATCAAAATATCATCCAAAATACAAAAAGAAAACAGCAACAGAGAAGTTAAACGTTTCTGCACCTCCTGTCTTTTTTCAAAAATCCGTGTTGTTTACTTTTTTGTTTTGTTTCTTGCTTTGTTTGTTTTTAATTTCAAGAATACGTACGTGTGACTATTGTTTCTATGTATTAGTAACTACTTTAAACGTTTATAGCTCCCAAAATTCTGAACCGATCTCATTAATATATATATTGTGCACATCTGTGAACAAATACCTTTAAAATGATATATTTTTTGCCCAGATCAGATGTATACTGTAAGAGTAAAAGGGGTCACAAAAAATCGTCTTGCCTATTAATTATATAGATTTAAATATACACATGGTAGGTAAAATATTTTTATACAATTTTATGTAATTTTTACACAAATTTATAAATATTTATTTGTGTATAAAGAATTGTTTCTCAAAAGATATGAAAATAACGTCTAAATGTCATAACGTCAATTGTATTTCCAAATGCGAATAACTCTATCAGTGATAAATTCAAAAATACATACATACTAAGATTTACATTTCTCTTAATATGGACAAAATCATTGCTCTCTTTTTTAAAAGATTCTCTTAAGTAAACAAAAACAAAAGTCAACCTACCTTTTCTTTCTTTGTGACTTTGTGCAAATACAGAAAAACACACACAAACAAATAAACACTTGTTGACACCAGATTAATTGACATAGCATTGCATTGTTGGTATTAACAACAACAACAACAAAACTTCTAAATATGTATAAGCAAAAATAACAAAAAGGAATAGCCGACCGGCATTTTATTTTTTCTTAACACTTTTTTTTTCCAATTTTACAGCTAATTAGCCGTTTATTTTTATTCAATAACTTTTCTACACTTATTAAGTAAGACTTTTTCCATAATTTCACTAAATAATTTTAAGTTTTTCTCGAGAAAAACTATAAATTTTAAGCAACAAACTGATTTATGCACAAAACACAACCGAACGATGCAAAAATTCCGCTAAAACTGAATGTGAATGAAGTGAATAAGAACAAGAGTAGAGAGAGAAAGTTGAGTATTGAGGTTTGGTTGAGTATTAGTGTTGGAAGGGGGTGAGGTGGGAATCAAATAAAATGCTTAACCATGTTAATAAAGTTAATGAAACGATAACAACAACATTAAATATGCACTTGTGTGACACTAGGCTTGGTTTGAAAAAATAACAACAACAGAACTTAGATAAAAGAAAGTGATGATTGCATGGGGTAATTTTTAGTATGTAGGTTTAGGATTAGAAGGGTTATACACCATAAAAACGGAGCATATTCACTCGGAGACCATAAGGTCCATTGTGATCCCCTTCAAAGAGTTAACATCCAAAAACAGGGAAGCCAAAACACTACAACAAAGAAAAGAAGGTAAGAAGGAAATACAACCTAGAATATTTATTAAGTTATTACTCTAAAGAATTAAAAAATATAAAGCCCAGTCATAGAAGTGACTAATTCCCTTGACAAAACCCCAGTTCGACATGGAACATATTCCCTAGCCATTTTAGCCTGAGATACTGTATCCTAGGACATTGGCAAATTATATACTCGATCGTCTCTACTTCCTCCTCATCTTCGCTTAACCAGCCATAGTCCGGAATATTACTATCCCACTTACTGACAAAGGCTCTAACTGAGCAATGCCCTGTTAGCGTCCCTATCAGAATCTTTAGACTGCGTCTGTCCAGTCCTATAAGTTTTTTGGTATCCTCCATATCGAGTTTTGGCCAAAAGGCCTTTGATATTCTGCAGTCCAATATATTATTCCAGGATTGGTTGATGATAACACGAATTCTTTCGAATATCAACATTCGAGGCACATTACAGTGCCCCGGCACCCAACACAATCTAATGACAAACTGTCTCATAATGTCCCTAAGGGCATTTGTACAATCTACAACCAAGTGCGAATGTACCGTGTTACAAGCCAAAGCTCTTAGAGCAGTATGACTATCAACACAAATTGTCACAACCGACCCCGGATCGATATGATTCCGTATCAGTTCCGTCGCTGTCCAGAACACTAGGATCTGTGCTTGGACGGCACTAAATTCGTCAAGGAGTCAGAAAGACTGTTTTCTGTTCATATCAGCGATATAGATACCGTCACCCGGGCTGGTATCCATCTTGGACCTGTCAGTGAAAACTGCACACCCACCAAACAGTCTATCGCATACAAGCCAATCATCCCTGGTTGGAAATTCTATCAAACGTGTTTCATAATCCTTTTGAAGGTTTGACTAACGAAGGCTCGTAGAGTCTTAGTAGATTCCTAGCCATCACACCCACTAAAAAATTTTCTATAGGTGATTGGTTCCGAATGCTGTCCATGGCCGCTTGAGCAACTTTTTGTAACTGTCCTTTCTTAATTCCTCCCACTAGACAATGCCAACATAAGTTAGAATAGGCCTGACAATCGATTTGTAAATCCAATTTAACATATCTGGTTGCAGGCCGCAATTCTTTCCTATGGAATTCTTGCATGATAGCTTGCTATCAAGGAAAGTCCCTAAATACTTAGCTTTTTTTTTCCTTGTACCTTATCTTTTGCCCATAACGAGAGTTCACCTAGTGCAGTCTTCATGATGTCACTGATCGTGGATAGAAATTTTCCTTTAGCCCTTATCACCATGTCATCCGCATAGGCAACGATCTTCCTACCCTTAGATACAAATAGTCTTAGGATAACTTTAACCGCTAGTAGCTACAGAAGTGGAGATAAAATACCCTCTGTGGTGTTCCACTTGTAACCCTTCTCCTAATGCAATAATCTACTGCTAAGCATGCTGACTATCAACCTCACCAGGAAGTACCTTTTAAAACAAATTGATAATGATATACGTAAAGCCTTCCTAACACCATTAGGGTGTCCCATGGACCTCATTTTTGTAGGAATACTTCTCAAACGATATTTTTTTAAAGGGCCTCAGTTCCCTACCAGAATTAAAAATCTTGATCTCAGTAGATACAACATGTTCAAAAAAAAATGGTTCTCAAAAAATTCGTAATTATCGTTGGAAAAATAATTATGTAGTATATAGTAGAGCCCTGCATGAGTAACTCTATTTGCTACACACAATGAGTGACTCATTGCTTTGCACTCAACTCATTGTTTGTTTAGAATAGTATTTACAAAGTTTTGTTATACTCAAACGTTGTGAGTACTATCAAGTGAATGTGCAACTACATTCAAATCGAGCGAGTAAACAATTTGTTTATGTTAAAACAATACAAAATAGATTGTTTGAATCGAATGAATCGATTCAAACTTTTTCTTGAATAAATGGTGAAAATTTTGAATGCTGTTAAAACTAGTTCCTGTGGCCCGAATTCGCTGAAATTTGGTAGTCTTGAGTACAATTGATGACAAGATAATATTATGTTCGAATATTCGAAATTAAGTTCGAAAATTCGAAGTTATGTTCGAAAAATTTTTTATGCTTTTAAATTATTCTTTGAGTCCAAAAAACTAAAAAAAAAATTTTCGAAAATTCGAACTCATGTTCGAAAAAAATTTAAAGCTGATAAAACCAGTTTCCGTGGACCAAATTGGCTGAAATTTGGCAGTGTTAAGTACAGTTGATGACGCTACTATATTATCTTCGACTATTCGAAATTAAGTTCGAAAATTCGAAGTAATATTCAAAAAATCTGTTAATTTGTCGAACTTAAAAATTGTTTTGCTTTCACTCGATTCACTCACTGTATACTACTTGAATTGAATCACACAAACACTCTCATTACTTGTTTCGTTTGAATTGAGTATTGACTAACATTCCTTATTTTCAAATATACTATTCATTTCATTCATAAAACAATGAGTGAGTCAAACACAGTGTTTGAAAAAAATCAAATGTTTTAATTTATTATTTAAGTCACTCATGCAGGGCTCTAGTATATAGTGCTAATTTGATAATGTTAATAACTTTCCATCTAACAAAGGTTTTTTCTCTAGCATCCGAATTTTATTATTAATAAATTTTAATGAGAGACTTTTTAAACTATTAATAAAATAAGTAAAATGTTAAATAAAATAGACATTGGTGCATATCAGGAAACGAAATAGACTTATGTAATAAGTAATAAGAAGGTGGAACGTTTTCTGCCGCACAGTGTTATTTTTTATGGTACGAATATGAGTTTTATGCTTCTACAATAGGACCTCTCTTTCGTCTTCATCTTCTGCAGTTGGATGCACTAAATCATGAATTAAATTCTTTTGTAAAGCCAACTGTTTTTTGATTGCTAGTACCCATTCTTTATATTCCTCCTTTGTTTCTCCCTCACAAATAACTCTACAATTGGGAGCATTTGGATCCTGTTCGTTGAAGAAAAAATTTACTATTTGTCAACTCTTTCAATTCCAGCTTATTCATCTATTAATGCAAAATTAAAAAGTGTCAAAATTAAAAAACAAAAATATGTATTTAAGCAGATTACCGGTATTTGAAGACAAGCATTATAGGTATCAATGGAATATCTACGATTTCCTTTAGTTTCTGGTTTTTTCGTAAATAAAATTAAGCGCTTAAATAGAAAAACGTATGATTTACGTTTTTTACCATCATAATTGCACAGTAAATAACCACGATGTAAAAGCTTTCCTTGATCCGATATAATACCATCGAAATTCTGTATACCATTAAGTATCATGAATTCATTGGCTTCGTCGCAAGATTTCTAAAACAAATATTAAATTAAATGTTAAAGCTATAGTTTAATAAAATATAGTTACAAATCGTTTACTTCTATCACAGTTAAGGCTTCATTTAAACTGTCTAAATCCTCCTCCATTTTGTTCTTTTTAAGATGTTTTAAGATTTCAGTCAAGAGTATTTTATAGCGAACCACTCTTTGCATCGGCTCTATCATATAAGATTCAATCTGTAAGAAGAAATTCAAATAGAAATTTTCTCCTCTGAAATTCTCTATCACATCAGGTTTTTATATATTTTTTTCAAATCGCTATTAAAATATCTCGAAAACCTGATGTAATGAAAAAAGTGCGGTTAGATTCAATCTGTCAGATCAATCCTTTGGGTTAAACAGTTTTTGACCTTTGCCGTTATGTTTTATGTGTTTTCTACTTACCGTAAGTTTGTGATTCAATAAAGTTTTGACTTTATCAAAGTATTGTATATTATTCTTAATAATATATTCCGATATTGGCTTATTATTAATATACTTTGCGTACATATGAAACTGAGGTTCATTTTCAATAAAAACATTACTCAAGCTGCGGACAGAATGTTGATTTTTTTTCAATTCTTCTGAGAAATGTCTGGAAAAAGTAAATAAAAAAGATAAATAGATTTAACAAAAATAACTTATTTCTACATACCGCTTGTGCCACTCATAGATTTCCTTTATATTGCCAAAAATCAATTGACAATCATGATCCTTTAGATCGTCTGGTGCAGGAATTTCACTATTTTCTTTAAAAAACTCAGCCATATAACTATAAGATGAGAAAATTACTCACTCTAAAAATGCTTTGATCAATTTAAAATTCTTTGCATGATATTTACCCATAAACAACATTTTCCAATGTTTCTATATATGTTCTCTTCGGTTTTTATTAGTTCGGCTATGGGTGGAATGTCATGCTTTGCATATTCCTTAAAGGATTTATATTTATTTCTCTGTGGTAAATCAGCCATAGATAAATTGTTGTAAATCTCTTGAAGTTTGTCTATTAAATGAGACATTTTTAGAAATTTTATTAAACTGTTTATTTTTTAAATATAAACAATATTAACCGCAAATTCTATATGAATATTCTAGTAATGCTTAAAATAATAAGAAACTGAGAGCGAATTAAAAATAGTCTGGCCAGTGCTGCCAGATTAAAAGTTTAATTTTTCTCTATAAAAATCTCAAAATAGGGTATAATTTTAATTATATAACTTCGATTTTAGTTATAAAATTATATACTTTGCCTAACACTATAACAAAACCGAAAAGGTCTTACCTTAATTTTATGAGAAATAGGTAAATATTAATTGTGCAAATAAATCTCAGTAATTTAATATTTTCTTTTTAATATATTTTTTATAATTTTCTTTTTTGGCATTTTTATATTTATCTTTAAAGTCCATAAACATTTATATGCAAGTATAATTTGTAAGTAATATATTGAATATATAATTTATTTATTATTGTTATTTGATTTGTTAAACATTTACAATAAAAACTAACATTTATTCAAATTTTATTTAAATATAAATTGTTTATATTAATTAATTATAATGACACATTTAAATAAATATTTAGTTTTTTTTCTATTTAACATGCTGCTATAAAATATTTTTTTTTTCTTTTATTGGAATACATTTATAAAATGGTTCTTTTTTAAATTTTATTTTAAATTTTCTATAAATCTATACATTTAATATTGTGATTGTAATGCTTTTGTTTTACTTTATTAATTATTTAATTTAAAATTGCAATTAAAATAAAAACAAATCTTAAACGAAAAATATCAAATAAATGTTTTCAATATTATTTTCAATCTGTTTGGAGTATATTTATAAACACTAATAAAATAAATAAAAAAACTATTGAAATCTTCTAAAACAAGTTGTCTAGTTTTGATTTGAGTTCTTAATCTTAAAGAATTATAATTCTTTGAACTCCAGCTCCAGAAACTACAAATAATAGTATGAAAGTTGCCTATTCTGCAAAAACGGAATCGGCCAAAGTTTCACTAAATGAACAACTTACATAAAACGTTGTTACGATTGTAATGTAGAATACACACAATCTCCTAAATAATTCAATTCAAAATTTTCTTACGAAAAAAATTTCGAATTCAAAATGCAGAATAGGTGTGAATGTTTTACATACGTTATCGGTTTTGCCAACAAATTAAAATCATTTGTTTTGGTTTATTTGTATAAATGGTGCAATTTCATTTTCAGTTTTTTTATTTAAGCATATTATTTAATTAAATATTTTAAGTATTTACTATTATCTTCAAAATAAAGGCAAATATAAACAATTAGAGACGAATTAGCGAAATTTTAGAATTTGATGTAACTCGTCTACTTTAGATTCATGAATAGGAACATTGGAACTAGTGCTGTGACCATTGTTTCTGAAACCCATTCTGTGGAACGAGTTACATAGGTCATTAACACAGTTACACTATTTTAATTGAAAGAACTGGTTCCTGTTCTCTAAAAGCTTCTTAGAACCAGTTCTGAGAACGACAAATTCATCGTTTCATTGAAAGTGTGTCGACTAAAAAAGACGGAAACATTTCTGGCAGTCAGTACGAATCGAATAAAATTTTCGTATATAAGTTTTGAATTTGATTCTAATGGTGCCACCAGGTGCGCTGCTAGGGGTATGTAAAGTGGGAAACCTCGGGTATGTCGAAATTTTTAAAACGAACCTTCTTTTCGCTTGTGTTCCGATAACAACGGATTCAAATATTTCCCGATTTTCTCCTATGTGTGTAACAATTCCGCGGAAAAAAGTTCATAGGTAAGAACTTCGAAATATTATTATTGCTCGCCACACCAAACTAGAACGAGTACAAGTTATAACCATTCTGGATTGTGGAACTAATACAATTTTAGAACGCTTCCCTATTGTCTATGTTCTCTTTAATTTGTATTAATTTTAAAGACTATGAATTTTTGTTTAATTTTCAATATTTTATGTTCGTTGTAAATGGATAATAAATATGGCATTTTTTTCCTTTAAGTAATAAAGTTAATAATTTATTTATAAATATGTTTATTGTATATTTTATTATAGATTAATTATAGTTTTAGAAGTTGTTGTTGGTATGTAAGTATGAGTGTTATTTTGTAAAAATCGATTATAATTTCGAAAAATAATTAAGTCAAAAGTATATTAGACTTTTAAAAAGGATCTTGTTTATAAACTTTTAAAGTTTTGAAACTAAATTGCCAGTTAAACACTGGGAAATATAATATTGCATTTTAGTGAGATCTTCAAATCTTATGGGTCAGGTTTATTTATAAGTCATATTGATTTCAAAAAAATTAGTTAACAAATATAGAAGAAAACTAAAGTTAAAAAAACTTACCCCATATACATACGTCTTAAAACTTTAATTTTCAAAAATATTCAGCTTTGACAGATATTTTAATTCTTTAAAGATAGAAAGCTATTCCTTAAAATTGAAAAAAATATATTTTGTACCCTAGACAATTCAGAAATCTTATATATTTTTGACTTAAAATCCTTTCTGCCTGTTTGAATAATAACAAAATAAGTAAATAAAAACTTGTAAACTTGTTAATGTTTATTTTATAGATGTCATCATAAATATATGCATATATTTTTCATCTAGTTGTCTCATTATAATTATTAAATTTAACACATTTATATATTTTTAATATTAATTTAATAATATTTCATATTTAATTTAAATCTAATAAAGTAAATGTTTTATGTATTTTCCTTTTTTTTCATTTTATACTTTGAAAATCTTACTATTTTCCATTACAACAATTAACAGTTACATACGATTTGTTTAAAGATTTTGAAAAGTTTATATAAACATTCATGACAAATAAATTGAGTTTTTTCAATAAACAAAACATTCCGTAAGACAAAATTAATAAAGAAATACAGTTTTTGTTTTAAACAAAGTCCAGTTCTTATTCTTCACAGTCTCTTAGTTTTAAAACAAAAAGAAGACTGTTTAAATAAAACTGTTTTAAATTTATTTAAAATTATATATTTATTATTTATATTGTTTTATATATAAAACTTAATAATGAAAAGCTCTAAATAATTGAGCCAAATGTTTTTTTTTCATTCTTTTTTCTTGTTATTTTTCTTTTTCTGTTGTATATAATAATAATATAATAGTTATTTAAATGAATTCATTTATGTATTTTTATTTTCTTTTCGTTTGATTATAACATTAGAAATTTGTTAATAAACAAATATAAAAAAAATTATTTAATGTAGTTTTAAATAATAATAATAATATACATATATAATAATAATAACAAAAAAAGTAAATATATATATACAAAGTTATAAATTATCGTGTTATTTGGATTATTCTTTTTTATACTCATGAATTTTTTTACAACGCATTTTGTTTTTTTTTACTTTTAAATAAATTTTTTAAAATTAATGAAATCAGTCCATAGGTTTTTTTGATTACAAAAAATAATAATAACTAAATATATAAACAAACAAAAAATGGTAGATATTAATAATTAACAAGAAATATATATAAAGTTTATAACAAAACAAAAACTAAAATAATAATAAAAATAAAACATAATTATATGTATAAATTTTCAAACAACTTTTTCTTTTGTAATTTAATAATGCTTTTACATGTTTTTTTTTTTTTTTGGGAAACTAACACAATGTTTGTGGTAATTTGAAAGGCTTGATGATTTGATAAAAAGATTTGCGCAAATTATAGCAATTTTATGAAAATGTAATGGCAAAAGTTTACAAAATAATTTAATCTTAAATAAATTTCATATTTAAGTAGACAACAAAGTAGAATTTAAGAATTATTTATAGAAAATGTTTACATTTAATTTCAATAAACATCTTTTCATTATTTCTTTTAAACTTGAAATACTAAAATTCTTTTGTTATTCCTTTAATTTTAAAGTTTCCTTTTGCCTTAAATAAATTTTGTACATTTTCAAAACTTTTAATAGAGTATTATGATTTAATTTATTTAACTACATTTCGTTTATTTCATTTTTTTTTTTTTTTTTTTAATTTCACATAAAATTATAGATGTGTTTGCTATGTAAATATGTGTATGTTTTAATGAATTACTATTTAATTATTTGATTACTTTTATTTATGTAGATGTTATTATTAATATTATTAATATGTAAATTTTTCTCACTAGTTGTGATAAGAACAAGCTTCTAGCTTTATTTTATCTTTTAACATATTTATTATTATTTTTTTATTAATTTCTAAAATTTGGTTTAAAAAATTCTTAACATTTTTTTTCTTTGTTTTAAAAGAAAACAAACAATAATTTAATGGCTAATGTTGTTGAAAAGAAATACCAAGTTATTCCAGAATAGCAGGTAGTAAGTAAGGAATCCTTTACAAACAAAGCAAATTCCTTTTACATACAAATCTGTTTTTTTAACAGATGAAAATTATAAAGTAACAGAAGACATATTGTTTCATATTTAATCGGCGGGGAGATAGAGAGGAAAGGCTTTTCACAATGACTCATAATAAGCTCTACTAAAAAGCCTTGTAATTTTTAACACAAAACAAACGTTTATTTCAACGTTTAAGTCCTTTGGAAAATAATATAAACGATTTAAACTCCCACAAAACCATAGACTTCTAAAACTCGTATTTCAAAATCACCCGAAGGACAGAGAGGTGGATTATTAAAGGTTTTACAGCTGTCGGTTTTGCCAAAGCGTATATTCTCATCCATCCAAATGGCTTGACCCTCTCTGTAAGAAAAATATTATAATTAAAAATTGTTTTAAAACCTATTATTTTTTGTTTGTTTAAAACTTACCCTCCTCCTATGGTTATCATTTTTGAATCGGCTGCCATAAATAGCTCAGATGAATGTCCCAAATCTTTGTCATTGTCAATACCCACCCAGGGATATTTAGCTCGTTCCGGATATAGAGAGAATAGGAAAGTTTCTCCTGTACCAAAGTAGGCTTGTCTTTGGCCTTTGTCATCTTTTATGTTGCGCTCAAACCAACGGGACGAACAGTAGGCTCCAAATACCTAGAAAAGGAAAAGATTATTGAACTATAATGATAACAAGAAAGAGTGTTATATTCCTATACCCCCCTTCATTATAGTGTCTAGTCTATAGTCTAGTC